TGAAACACTGTGGTCAAGAAAGCCTGACAAAGACTCTACTTCCTAAGAAGATTAAAGAAGTTTGGTACCAACACCAGCATCATCATGGAGAGCCTGCATCACAGGGTGGTATGTTCATTCAATCTGTATTTATACAGGTTAGTCTCATTGAGTCACGAGGACTCAGTTACAAGAGTACGGTGGCCCTGAAGTTTAAACCACAACTACAAATTAAAAAAGGCAACTATAAAAAAAAATTACATTAAAAAAAATTAAAATAACATTAAGCGAAATCAGAAGAGGTGGGAGGTTCCAACACCTTGTCATCCAATCAGCAATGGCTCATGTTTCCCACTCTGGTCCCACCTCTTCTGGTTTCGCTTAATGTAATTGTGTTTCTTCAAATGTAACTGGTTTTTTTTTTTTTTTTTCAAATATTGTATTTTTCCAAATTTAAGTGAATTTTTTTCAAATGTGTTTTTTAATGTGTAGTTGTGGTTTAAACTTCAGGGCCACCATACAGGAAGCATGGGACCTTCTTTCATTGCTATGCTGTCAGATCCATCCACCCATCCATCAGTCATCTTTACCTGCTTCTTCCTTTCCGTGCCACAGAGGTCACTGATGCCCATACCCAGCAGTTCCTGTGTGAGAGAAGGGGGACACCCTGGAGAGCTCTCAAGTCCATCAAAAGGACACAAAGACAAACAACCATTTACACTCTCATTCATACCTAGGGACAATTTACAAGTTACCAATAAGCCTAAAATGCATGTTTTTGGTCTGTGGGAGGAAACGGGAGAAAACCAACATATGCATAGAGCGTACATGCAAACTCCACACAGAAAGGTCCCTGGAAGGAATTTGATCTGGCAATCTTCTCGTTGAGAGGCGTCATCTCTACCAACAAAGTCACCGTGCTGCTATTTCTGTTGTGTCTTGAATTCATCAAAGCCTGGATGTTCCTAATTTTGATTTATTTATTTTAACAGCAGGAAAACAGAAGTGATGATGTTTGGTCCCTGTGGCTCCTGTGAATATTTCATCTGGATCCCCTGGCGCCGCATGTAAAACAATTATTTTCTAATTTGGGTTTTAAAATGGACAGTAACTTTAGATTACAAACCAGATTCCAAAAAAGTTGGGACACTAAACAAAATGTGAATAAAAACCGAATGCAATGATGTGGAGATGGCAAATGTCAATATTTTATTCGTAATATAACATAGATGACAGATCAAAAGTTTAATCTGAGTAAATGTAACATTTTAAAGGAAAAATATGT